TCTACACTATGTCTATGCGTTCCATTAGCACATGAGGAGGATAAGCAGCCAACCAGAGAAGGACTCGAATGAGATGCAGCATATAATGAGCGGTGCGGCTTGCATGGTGGACTCGGATGGACGGCGCTTAGCGTGTGGGTCTAGCTTGTGACTGGTCAATAAAACCTCTTCTATTTTAGCAGTATTCTTCTATCAGGGCTCGGGTATTCTACAGTCCAGATATAGGCTGCAACAATACTAGTTATCGTCATTAGATAAGCATATCCTTTGAATAGGGTCAGTTTAACGGCCAACCAGATGCAAGGTTGGATGGATTTAATTCAAACGGCGGATGGTGTAGCCTCGGATAGACGACAACAGACGTACGATCCGAATTGAGCACTGCAATAATTCCTCTGTGGTTGCATATATCTTATATTCATTTGAATCCAAGCATTCCGCCTATGAGTGAAATTATAAATGGTGGCCTGAAGCCAAGTGGGTAAACAGTATTATCTTGAAACGTTTGCATTATATCACCATTATATCACTAAACGACATATATGTATTAATTTATAAAAATAACTGTTAGCTATGAAATAAAGGAAAAATAAAAGCTTTCTAAAGTATATGTAGGCCTATTTCCATCCAGAAGACTTAATCAACCATTTCGGAAATCACAATTCAAATAAACCGATAATGATCGAGAAATTGCAATGAGTGTGGGTATTAGCAAAAAAAATACCTTTTAACTAGGTGATGTTACAAAATTAGTTAGAACTATTATGTTTTTTTGTAGGAATTTCGAGCATGTATTACATTTTAATCCCGTCAGAAGCGACAGCGCTTAGGCAGCTTAGTGGCTTTTCGTTTTTAGGTGAACTAAATTAGACTTTAATTTTTTGTTATTCTTTATTATTTGACATGTAAGCGCATTATACTACCGAAAAACTTCACTAGTATTTATTCATATTAGATCAGACATCATACTCAGTTTTTAATTTTCTCAAGGTGCTGCTATATTTTGAAAGCTTTTTTAGGTGCTCTTATATTGACAAAACTTATTATTGCTATAAATTCAGGCCTCAGTTTACCGCAACTTGTGGAAACGGTGGCAAAGCTGACTGTGAAGTCTTTCAGTTAAGACATATCGTTTAAACAAAAAGCATTTTCTGATACTTTGCTGCCTCAGTACGTCCATAAAATAATTTTTATTAACAACAAGCAGAAATATATGGCATCTAACGTCGTTTATTTCGTCAACTACTGCTGCCAACAGCCCAAGCACACTTAAAAATTTAAGAACAAATTTGTCAGGTGCCTGAAGAGGAAATGCCTTAGTGAAGATGAAACGGTGAACGGCCCATGAGGCGGTTAGGCCTTTCGACACTAGTGTATGGAAATAGGTTTTGGGGGTTTATTGCGGATTCTACTGCTTTATCTCCCATGTTACAGAAAAGGGTACCATCAAGTAAATGAAAATGGCTTTAAGGATATTTGGGTATACATTTATTGGTTTGCCCTCGTAAAATAGCATTCAAATTGTGCAGTTTCAAGAAAAAAAGGGAAAGTTGGGATGGAAAAGCCTATTTTTGTCTAGGCCATTAGGTAAATAGCTGCCAACTTGATGTTCAGTCATTGGTCGAGATCTAGCGTGAGATGTGGTGTAACTTCCGGTTGCGTGGGGCCGCATGGTTTCGAATGGAGCGCCAAAGCCAAATAGTCGGCTCACCCCACGAGGTTGACTTACTATTTCTAAAAGCCAAGCCGTAGCCAATGGGTGAACACGAACAACCTGGACCAACTGTAAAAGCGTACTCTTTGACCATAATAAGACTTAGCCATGATTCTGGAGACCAATGTCTGTATTGTGCACCACTAAACCTTTTTAGCTGTCCCTAAGCTATTTCATCATGTCCAGGCATACTACACTTCTTGCCAAACTCAATGTAAAGTTTGCCAGTGAGGTTGAAGTGCTAAACGTCAGTGGGCATCATGGACGCATCACCAATTCTACCTTGCATCAAATTTAACGAAAAATCACTTTTATTTCATCTTCTACTAAGATTATTCCATATGAACCTACAGCGCAGCTTTTTTGTGAGTACTATATTAAGGAGGAATCAATTTATTGCTCTAAGCAATCTAGAGTTGCCAATAATCATAAGGCTTCTTCAAAATTAAAGGCGATAGATATCTAATCATTCTTTAAGCAATGGGAACAATTGTGAGGAAAAATCTTCAAACCTTAGGTAAGATAGTTAGACAAGATAAAACGACAAAAGCGTTTTTGTTACACATTTTAAAATTTGAAGCATTTTTTTAAAATTAGAGTACCACTTAATCTAAGCTGGGACAATAGAAATTATCCATTAAAATTAAAGAAACCAACGTTTAATCTCATAGCTGCCTCCATGGCATCTGCAGCGGAGGTATTATAGTGTTTTATTTAAGACGAAATAGTAAGTGTCTAGTTAGCAACAAGCTGGCATTCTAGACTTTCATCCAAATGAAAGCATACATGCGAGTTCTTGAAAAAGTGGTAAATTCATGGGCTTAATACTTAATCATGGGTTCTGCCCTCTCCTAAAGCTAATGCATCATCGTAAGTTCAGGTAATGTGGATTATGCTGCATTGAATTATTTACGTTAGAATAAGGTCGATATTAGAACAGTAAAAAAACCTCCCAACGTTGTTAATAAAAAATTGGTACATTTTAGCGAAAATTCTTGCCTCAGGCTATGCATGTACCAGCAAATGCCAGATGTATCATGACCTAAATTCGCCTGTGCACACACAATTAAAAAAAATTGCTTAGACTTGATATAGGAACGGCATACAGATTTCATAATCCTAGAACGGTGTGTTATACTAAATGTAGGTAAATGCTAAATCACTGCTTAAGATTGATGTCGTTTAATAGCAAAGCAATTAATTACTGCCCTTTTAAAAAATATAAGAAATTTAGTTGCTTGATCTTAAAAAGCTTTTCATTCTGATGAAAAAACTTCTACCAAAAAATTGCTGCAGATGGAGTACATTTAAACAAAACGCAGTTTCTCCTAAACGCCTTAAAAACGCTGGTGGTGAAGATAAAATGCTTAACTATGTAGCAAATAATTTGTGGTGTTGTTAGTTCGTAGATAATTTAAAAAAAAAAAATTTACTTTATATTTTGTTTAGGATGCTCTTTTTCTTGGAGCGCGGGTTGTAAGAGTTAATCAAAATCTTCGTTTTCGTTTACTTAGTATTTTTTGCAAGCATGGTGGTCTGAGTAACCAAACAAGGTATTTTTTAGAAAGAATTTGTTTTTTTTTGCAGTAGCAACATGGATAAGGTTTGCGAATTGGGTCGAATTTGTTGACCCAAAAATAATGTTACCTAATTTTGCCTGTTTTGTCATTGTAAAGCCTTTGGACACGTTGCAGGACATTTTTGCACCACGTATATCCTAGCTTAAAATCTGTTTTACTTAGTATTAATGTCTTTTGTGTTCTCTTGGGATTGAATATGTGCTCACGTAACCACCCTTTGCAGCATTCATTGTTGCTTGTTTGATACTTATTTTTCGAGAATATGCTTGGTCTGTTAACACTGCTTGTAGTCCGCTAATTATTTTTGCATGGTTTACCCAATAA